ACAAAAATATGCATAAATCAGGTGGTAATCAGGTAGTAATCAGTTTAAAATCGGGTACCTGATTTTTTATCTTTCGATCTGTGTAATGTACTGCAAGAAAAAAGTAAAATGTGGGAAAAGGGTGTAAGAAGAACCACACTTGTCATTTAGGGGTAGTTCTCATATGCTACCTGCTGACAAGCTCAGAGTTTATCACTTATGGCAGTATGGCACTTGTTGTTTAGAGATAGTTTTCGTATGCTATCTGCCGACAAACTCAGAGTTTATCACTCATTGAAAAAACTTAGTACTGTGCAAACTTGTGGAACACCTGTTGATGTCTTTAGAACTCACACTCTTTTAAATATGTGCTAGTGGTCTTCTCTGTATTTTTCACTCTTTGCCATTCTCACCAAAAATTTCAACAAAAAAGTGGGCATTTTAGCTTACCTCTCCAAAAGATTGGCATTGTTTACACCTACCTAATTCAGATGACTCAGTAGAATGCAACTACGTGTTTGTTTTGTTTATTGATATGGTGCTATGGAATGTGGAAGAGATCGCCACCCCTGTTTAGAAGATACCTGAGTTGAGTCGGTGTCTGGAACGAGTCCCAAAGCTAAACCAAAGGTTTACAATTGAGATATAATAATTAGTTGCAATTATTATATAATTTTTATCTTTATGCCTAGCATGGACTATAATAGTATGTCATGGCTACTTTCTTTTTTTTCATTTTTTTCATCTTTGTTCATTTATGGTAGACTATTTTAAATTTGTTGAAAAGTTTTTTTTCCCACCGTGAGATGTTTTTTTCTAAAATGTTTATGTCTCTCATAAACATAGCATTATTTTTTTCACTTTTATGTATGAATAAGGGTTTTAATTTTGTTGTCAGGCTTAGGTAGAAGAAGTCTAAAAGAAAGAAAAGGTGGTCATAATAGGTGGCAAGGTTCACTGTTGAGAGCTGGGTCATATCCAAGTGCAGGAAGGGTCCGGAAGGAGGGAAATCTTGCTATAGCAGGTTGAATATAGGTACTAATTGAGGTAAATGAGTTAGTTTTAACTTGTAATTTAGATAACATTAGGTTTAATACTATGGCGCTTGTCATTTAGAGATAGTTCTCATACACTATCTGCTAACAAGTTAAGAGTTTATCACTTACCTTTCTAAATGCAACTTAGTGTAAAATTTTACTAGTCTAGAAGACTTGTACAAAGCCTAATAAAGTTAAAGTATGACTGCTGAAAAAAAATAATAATAATAATAATAATTTATTCATTATTCAACTATTATATAGTGTTTAACATTCATTATATACTATATAATTGTTTTTAATAAAATTTAAAATTAAAATACATTTTTAATATAAAATAAAGGCTTATAATATAATAAAATTTTAATATAAAGATTTAAATTTTGTTATATTTAAAGTTTGCGGGGTTCTGCTTAGAACCCCTAAACCTAATTACTTGGTACGTACGTTTCTGAGAAATAGCACCTACAGTATGGTGTTTACACTATAGATGCATTTTAGTAAACTTGTAGTTTTTAAAATATAGTAAAAATATATAATAATTAATATCTACAGTATATATCTATAATATAGTATATATATATATATATATATATATATATACGTACAGTATTATCGCTACGTATATAAATATTAAAGTTTAAATAACGATAATATTTATATATATTAGCGATATCGATTAGTTATACGTAACAAGTTTTGGTATAATACGTATTTTATTTTTATCAAAATAATAAATTGTAACTAATTTTTGAAACACAGTATATAAATGCATGCCCTTTTATATTAAAAATAACTAAACAGTGCTAACGCTAATCCCAGATTTTCTTTACTGCGCTTAGATGATCAAACCATTTCTAGTTGTGCCGGAACTTTGCACTCAAAAATAAGAATAAAGAAGGATTGAAAACCTTACAATGAATTTCCGTTTATTATCATAAACATGAGAAGAGCTAGAATTACCTTTATTTATGTAGACGAGACATATTTATTTATTAAGGAAAGCAGACATTCGGTGGCTTATCCTAATCCGGTCGACGAAATTGAAAGTGTTGGCCGAAGCATTTGGTTGGAGCCTGCCAACTATTTACAGCTTTTTGAAGATACATCTAAAAAGAGTTAGCAAAGAGGAACATAAGGAAATCAGGCGGAAGTCATAAAAAAAACAATGGTGATCATGTGATTAAATGGTTTTTTTTTTTTTTTTACGATTTTTTATAAATGTGTGGATGGTTTGCCAAACGCGTTTTAAACCTTCTTTTCGTGGAACAAAGTCCCTCGAAAACTTTATATATATACTCCGCCTAATTGCCCGCCACAATATATATTTAATTAATAAATATATTATATGAGCGTTCTTTCTTTGTAATTCTTTAAACTTCGTCAAAGTACATAAATGGCTCCCCGGCAAGACAAAACACCTCTAGTACTTAATCGTACATCAAGAGGTGTTTCATCACCTGGGTTTTATTTCGGTACTCTGAGTGCTATTTCTACTTTCGGCGTTGGTAATTTTGAAGGCGGTGTCAGAACACATGATAGTTACATGATACGGAACAATGTCGGAGAACTTTATCATAGTCATGCTGAGTATAAGAAAAAGAACATCATTAATGGAAGCAAACGTAAAGTTCATTTCAATTTGGCACATGCTGTACGAGAGCATACAGTAAGTACGAAAACTATACAGTCAAGCTTTGTTATAGCACAGTTGACAAAGTAGATTTTGGTATAATGATATGGACTTTTTCGGTCTACAGCATATTAAATGAGATAAACTGTCAAGAATTTTATACTTCCAAAATATGTTGGTACCCATAGTGAGGTCTGACTATGAACACCATATCAGAAAAATGCTCCTATACATATTACATTGTTGCATTGCATCTTTCTTTGTATTTTTTGAGAGTAAATTTCATTGTATTGTATAATTTCAAATTTCTAACGTTTATCCTTTATGATTGTTAGGAATCTCTTCGGGAAAGAGATAAAGTCATTGCTTTGGAACAAGAAGCTATGATGTACAAGTTCAAACGTCAAGAAATCCAGACTCAAGCCCGAGAATGTAACATGAAAATCACAATCGAATCGTTATATATTTTGCCATAATTGCTGTTTCGCTTCGACGGTATTAATAAAACCTATATTTAAACAGTACGGCGTAAAATCCACAAGAAAAACAAGGAAATCCGCCAAAAGAGGCACGAAGTAAAGTATTTGAGGATTATAGAACGGGAATTGATCGAATACCTTGAAAAATGTGAATCCCAGTCCCGAGAAGAAGCACAACCAGTAGTACAGGCTTCTTCGCCACTAGCTTTTGGAGTAAGTTCACCACGAAAAATGCATTTATTTTTAAAAATGTCCTTTTTATCGTATTGACCATTTATTTATTAACTTAGGCTAATCTATATAGAGTATACGTTTTGTGTGCTGCTTTAGTCTCTTTTCTCTTAGTTCGTGTCGTTTCTTATGGATCCATTGTAGTCAACCGTGTGTGAATTCAATATAGGTAGAAAATACCTGTTGTTGAGATTGATCATTCGTAGTGTACGAAGGCTTATTAATATTTTACGCTTTTGACATGTGGTTCACGTTAGTGTAACTTTTATTTAGATAATTCTTTTTCGTGGATGATGTCAGTGTCTTTATATAAAAGGAGAATTTAGTTTGGCGACTTTTGTTCGGAATCAATAGTCACAATATTATTATAATATTATATGTAATATCTCCTGTTTATCTTATCCACAAACCAATTAAAATATAGTATTAAAAGAATGGAATGAAAATGAGCTCTCTGAATCAAACATTCCTTATTTTACAGTCGAAAGATGCAGTACTGCTGTGGGTAATATTTTTTAATTAACTATCGGGCTAATTTATATCTCAATTAGGTGTTTTGATATTTCAAGATCTGTGATTCCATGACCATGCTCAAACTAGTGTTCCAAATCTGAAATCGATCAATCATTTATTTGATCATGTTGGCAACTAATCGATTGATAATTTTATTAGACAACTAATCGATTGTAGATAATTAATAACTGATAAACGATTAGTTGTTTTTATATAGTATCATTATAATCGAAGATTTAGCTAGAATTCAAATTATATCTAAACCATTTCGATATACCAGCTAAACGATTAGTAGATTAATTGACTAATCGATTATCGATTAGTTGACCATAATCGATTTTTAAAAAATTCTTGGCCAACTAATCGATTGCATTTTTTGGAATACTAGCTCAAACTTCAAATGAAACCTTAAAAGGTTAAATGTGTATGCAAGTGTATTTTTGTGACTGAGCAGCATAATTTCACGATTTTAAATATATTTTAAGTAAACGATGAGATAATTAAGCGTTAATGAAGAAGGAACTGACAAATACGGTTTTTTCTTTTGATTATTGGAATTACCATTAATAAGGTGCACACATCATGGTAAATCAGTTCGCTTTAATTATAAAGCCTTAGCGCTAGTCTAAACTAAAGTAGTATAAATTTTTTCATTGTGATCAAACGATCATATATAAATATATATTTCCCGGCTAGTGATTGTAGTCGATTTAGTCGACTAAATCAAATTTTTAAAATTTTGATTTAGTCGATTCCTGGATATGTATACGTAGAAGAAATGGTCTGGAAATTCATAAATAAACAATATTAAGTATATTAAATATGCTTGCTTTTTTTAAATTACTGTATAATATGAAATATATTGTATGTGTCATAATAAAAGTTTGGCATTTTATATAACTTGGCACTTAACCGATCTAATTACTAAACAACTAAACTAATATTGCTAAAGATTTTTTTAAGGGAATATTATTATAGCGCTATAGCATTCCGATGCTACCCTATATGTAATAAACAAACTTGTGTAACATGTAAATC